GGTCTGCACAATACATTTGATCCAAACTAGATATTATTGTTTTAGATTAGTATTTTAATAAAATTTATGGAACGTTGCAGCAAGGACGTTATCGTAGCTACTATTTCAAGTTGCACCAGTCAGGTTGCAGTTAAAAAACAATGATAGTTCTGTGTTCTGTCATTGACAGACTAGCGATCTGCAAGTCTTCTATAAGATCAATCAGACCAATGAGAACACAGAGACAATCTACACTGGCAAATACTACTTTAAAATGATCAATAGAAAACTTATAAAACAATAAAAGTCTAGAAATATATAGAAAATGTTGATAATTTAGAATTACATTTATGTTTGATATTACGAACATCAATTTTTGACATTGATAAACAAAGAAATGAAATTTTATTCATCTCATCTATCTAAATCATATTTTTATTTGAAGAAGCTGATAAAAGGAATTCAGCATGTACCACGAACAGTCACGTTAACACAAAAAAAACCAAGTGGACAAATATCTTAGCTGTAGGTTGTCGTGACTGAATATTACACACACAATAAAAGTGAATAATGTATATTAAAACTAAGAGTGAGATTTAAAATACTTTAGATATATATTTTGAAAATACTCGCTTTTCGTTACATGAAAAAAAAAGACATTTAGTCATCATAAACCTCAAAATATAACACCGCCTGAATGAAGCTGAGTATTATGTTATTTGATAGGAGCTTATTAAAAATAAAATCTAAACAGTTACATATAATTATCATCTAGGCTCAAATCACAAAGTACTGGGTGTTATCACGTTAATCCAATGTACTTCTTTATACCCCTCCCACTCATAATTTTTACTATTTATTGTTCTTACCGTAATCAGCCAACCACGAAGTAATATTTTTTGTATCTTAGATAGATGTTGTAAAATATCTTCACTATGCTTTTCGCTTTTAATGTCATGAACTGGTTTTTAAAACCTAAAATTAAACCTTTTTTGATATATTACACGTGAACAAACAATTTATCGAATCAAAATCATTAGCTGTTTTTATAACAGTTAGAGCACCTAATATTTGTGATAAAAATTACTTATACCGCAGTGTTGCTGTTTTGTCTCTCATCTTCCAGCCCAGTCGATATGTTCTGATATTCAATGAAGGGTCTTCTGGAAAGACAACTAATAGATATAAAATGCTATATTTACACACTCCTGAGTTGCGATGGGAGATGGAAAAAGTAAAAGAAATTAGAAAGACAGTTGCTGGTTTTGTCTGACTCAGGATGAAAGTATTTGATCTACGTGTATAGTCTGTTGTTAGCGTGACACTGTTGACCAATAATTAGTTTAGAACAGTATCATAAAAGGTAGCACACCTGGGCAATGTTTAAAAATTAACCACACAAATAAATGTTTTCATTTTTTTTGTCTGTGAGGCAATAGCTGGTTCAAAACTAATGGTTGTTTTCTTCAGCTGGCTTTTTATGATTTAAAATGGTATAACTTATCGTTAGATAATTATATGTCCAAATTTCTTTGTAATTCTTCCCCTACACCCTCGAGATTTACTCTGACTTCTGGCTTAAGCCTAAATCATCCTTAAACCTTGTCTTTTGTATACATCATACTACTTAAACACATTTAAATTTTGATTGCTTCGTTTCACCACAATAGAAATGAAAGATAACAGTTAAACGATCAAAGAGAGAGTGAGAGACATATATATAAAAAATGAAGAGATAACAGCTGCATAGGTGAGGAAAATGAGCTTATCTTGAGTTAATTTCGTTTGGTATGTTACACTAATTTGTAGACATTACATTAATTAAAGCCTCTGTTAGATTCAATTTTAGTCATGCTATGTTATTTAATAGATGTATTTCAAGATACCGCATTAACACATAAATCATTGAATGTAGACAGAATATTAAGACAATTAGAATGAATTATAATTTAGAAGATATCAACGGTAACTGATTTTATGATATTATTCTATTGAGCTTGGCAACATCTAGTGTTAATGTAATATAACTATTAAGTATTTTTTTATTACTTATTTGGAGTTTGGCATTCTTTGTTAAACGTATTTTATTGCAAAAACAATTATTCTAAGAACAAAGAGCTGTATGCATCAATGAAACGTTTACCTCTGTAAATAAGTGAACATAGTAGAAGCTTATATGATATGAGAATTTCGACAAACACACAAACCGGCAAATATTTTTCTTGTAGATTTAACCCATACAAGGTAAAGAAATTTTCCTTTTATAAAATATTAATTCGTTTTACGATGCTCCTGTATCATTTCATCTCCTTGACCACGTGACGACGATAATGTCGAGAAACACGAGCAGTTTTAGCTTATCGATGCTTGTCAACGTGTGAGGTCTTAGACGGTGTGATTTCTGACGACATCAGCTGACTTCCTTAAACAAACTCTCTTCCCTTGATGAGCTTCTAATAGAAGGCATTGCCTATGTAATGGAGAGGAATGCCGAGTTTCCTGCGCGAGTCTGGTTACTTTCAGAACCAGTGCTAATTAGCCGCAACTCCTGTAGCAGTAGTAGGTCAAGAAACAGGACATGTGGGATAGTTATTTGACGAGCTTCTCTGTCTTGTGAAGTATGACACCATTAATAACATGGAGAAGTATGTGTTATAGGAAGGCAGAAGAAAGTGCTAGTTCTTAATTCCTCTACTACTACAGTAGAGACATCAAGTTTGACTACATATGTGTCCCAGAGATAAAAAGAAACGTCTTCGAAACATAACTCAAGTGGGCTCTTAATAAATATCCTTTTTTTTTCTTTATCACCTATCATGTCAGAGTTGACGTCGTTTCATCGTAAATAACGTCTTTCTTCTATCCGATTTTGTCATCTGCAGTGTCATGTACAAAATTGTCAAACACTAAGTGTCTCATATAACTTAAAATGAAAAAGGTTGTCGCTTATTAAAAGTTTTATTTTCTGTATTTTTTACAAAACAATAGTTGTAGCGATCAAGATGAAGAATAACGTACTTAAAAAAAATGTTTTAGAATTAGCAATCGATCTGTTCAAAGGAAAACGAAATTTGGGCATAAAAATGGATTACGACACCTATGACGAACAACATTATTTATTTAAAAAGGGACAGAGATAAACGTTTCGGAATTCTGCTTTTGTAGTGATCAAAGTGAAAAATAATGTATTTAAAAATTATTTTTGGAATTGCTACAAACGCGCTATCTCCAATGTGTGAGCCGCGGTAATAAAACAATGAATGTTAGCCTTATAAGTTCTGAAGCCAACCGCTGAGCCAACGGGAAACAAGACTTGAAAGTGTTCTATTAGTTAGTAATAGCTAACTCGAGAAATTGTAAATTCAATCAACTTCATATTTGACTTTAATTGTGATACCAGTTGCAAAAATGCTATTTCATAAAAAAATATATAGTTTTTCTATGTCTTTTAAATAGATGAGAGACCATAATGTGAGATTGCAAATGTACATTAAATACGAAAGAAGCATGCAATGAATACTGTAGAAAACGAGTCGGACAAAATTAGTTGCCGTAAATCCCGTTTATCTATTTCCTTTTACGAATTATATCTCACATAGAGTACTTCTCAAATGTATCCGTACACAAAAGTGAATGAGTATTTTGTAAGTCAATAAAATCGCACTAGTTATGTAAGTTTAGAACTGATTATTTAACTCACGAGTATCTACTTTATAAATACCATCAAATATTATCATAATTCATGTAACTTTGCCTACAATTTACAATTTAGCTAGCATTAAAGACCTTTTTACACATGAAAAAGAAAATTCAACTATTCTAAAGCGCTGGAGATTGTGGGTCTTTTGAAATATCCTTGACTTTTTAAGGCAATCCTTTGAGCTAATTTTTTCATTGTTTGTTTGTTTTTGAATTTCGCGCAAAGCTACACGACGGTTATCTGCGCTAGCCGTCCATAATTTAGCAAATCTTGGGCTACTCTTTTACCAGCGATTAGTGGGATTAACCGTCACTTATAACGCCCCACGGCTGAAAGGGCGAGCATGTTTGGTGGGACTGGGATTCGAACCCGCGACCGTCATATTGCGAGTCGAGCGCCTTATCCACCTGGCCATGCCGGGCTTGATTTTTTCTTTTTTTTCATCATGTCTATTATTCAAGAGTAGTATGAATACAATAACCTGTTTTTGAGAGTATAGCGAATTATCAACACTAATTCGTCTGCTTATACCTGTGCTAATTTCACGTAACCTTTTCAAATATTTATTAACGTTTTCTGCCATGTTACATTGAATCTAAATTAGCAACAAACAGAATATTCAATAAGTACAAGGCTAGAGAAAACAAATTCAGGAAATTATCTATGTTCATATGCCAATTTTTGTATCATTAGCAGTGTTTTCATAAATAAAAACCAAACAGTACATATTTTCATAAAACTTATCACGTAATCCAGTTATTCGTAAAAAATCATAAATGACGACTTTTCACTAACTGTTGAACGTCTAGTGTTATTGGATTACCCAGAACATCTCCAGACGTGTAGCTAGCAATTCTTGCTTCTTAAATATTATTAAGAACTCTGTTGAACGTCTAGTGTTATTGCTTTACCCAGAACATCTCCAGACGTGTAGCTAGCAATTCTTGTTTCTTAAATACTGTGACGAACTCTGTTGAACGTCTAGTGTTATTGGATTACCCAGAACATCTCCAGACGTGTAGCTAGCAATTCTTGTTTCTTAAATACTGTTACGAAGTCTGTTGAACGTCTAGTGTCATTGGATTACCCAGAACATCTCCAGACGTGTAGCTAGCAATTGTTGTTTCTTAAATACTGTTTTATTCTTCTTCAAATGAAAATTCTTGAGTTGATTTGAAATAACACAAACGACACACAAATTATAATCCCGTTTATCCTCTTTTGCAAAAAACTTAAGTAAAAATAGTTTACAGCACTGAAAATAGTTTATTTCCATTTATCAGAACTTGTTTTTTACAGAAAACTCATATGTACACTGAAACTTACACTAGGTGACTGCTATACAACAGGTAACTTCGTTATAAATATCAGTAGAAACAAAGTTATAATAGGAACACAGAAGCGTATATGACAGAACCACATTTGGGGAAATAAACTTGCTTTAGATGCAGGAATACTCTGTATTTAAACACAATTTACTATGTAATAAAAAGTATTTGAATCAGGCAAAGATAACCAAAGCTAAAACTAATAAAGTTACGTAAACAGAATAAATAACTATATATATATACATCACCTTAAGAAAATAAAAATAAAAAACACAAAATTCCGGAAAACTTCCGGGAGAACATTTTCAGGAAATGCTTACAATAATCTGTAGTTTAACGGATAATATTTTAACAGGCTTCATCAAAAAGACGAAATATTTTCGATAATTCTAAGTTGTTTATTACAGTGTATGTACATGTGTGTGTTTGTTTGTGCCTCAAACACAAAACTAATGTGCAGTGCACCTTAGTCACTAGAAAGCACATCTTTTTTTTTTTTTAAAAGATACTCCAAAACTCAAAGTTCCTGAAAAGTAAGTCGAAATAAAATACATGTAGTGTAAATCAAAGTTTTATGTAGCATCCTTTATTTTACTTTGAACGCTTCTTTTACGTTATATATTTCTAGCTGTTACGTCTAAAACAAACAATTTTAACTTAACATTAATAACATGCTTGAAAAATCTAAGGGGTTTTAAGTTTCACTATAACTATATGCATATCTATGCTATTGTTGTCAGGTTGGATTTGAAATAGAGCTATCATACTTTTCTTGGGAATCTATGATATTGTTGTCAGGTTGGATTTGAAATAGAGCTATCATACTTTTCTTGAGTATTTATTTATGAGGCTGTTTTCAGTTTAATTTCTAGACTTAACTCCATTAACTACCTTATTGTATGATTAGAAATTATTAACAAAACTAAAACACTGCCTCTCTGTTGAGCCGGTAGAGACCTCATACTCATTACTACATGGTAGCGAATCTGGTTACACTTATTAACAAAGAGGGGGAGGGGTTACCACTAACATAAGTTGTAATTTTTTATCTACTTTGAATTATACCAGTATTCTATGAAGAAAAATGTTCATTTGTAGCTACGAGATATTTCAACCCATTAAAAATACTCAGGTGTGATATTTTGCTTCAAAGAAACATAAAATAACAACAGTGGTGACTAAGACTGGGTGTTGTGGATAAGAAGATACCTAACTGTTGGGTGACACTCTCATCATTACAAAAACGCCTGACTGTCGGTGTCACACTCTCTATCGAACCCTGGTGTGCTAATTTACACTTCATTTGATCAGTGTTCAAAATTGCTTTTTACCACTTAACAAAAAGTTTTGGATAGCGTAAGACTCAAATTTTTGTAAATGTGTTATCCTCAAGACATGCTCAAAAGAGGGCCCGATTATTTTCTGATACTATCTGGTTTATTAGTTTCAGAATGACATAGCAGTGTGCTTGTTAATCACGGAACTTCAAAATGTCAAATTCTTTCGTTCCTTCAATTAGTTTGAAGCTAAAATAAAGTGATTCAGTTCCTTGTCAAAAGCTATAACCATCACTAGAGATCAACATCAGTCAAGATTAATATACTCAAGGCTGACTGTGTCTGGCACAGAATAAAGACAGTGAAGGTTAAGATCAGTGGAAACAAACCAAACCAAGGAACACTTGAAAGAAAATACGGAACATAGAACCCTATACACTGTAGACCAATTAATTCTGATATTATCTAGAGATCAAAGAGTTCTAAAATTCTAGAAAGTGAAATATAAAGTTTTTCTTTTGTTTCAAGATTTTTGCACAAAGTTATATGAAGAAGTTATCTATGCTTCCTAATTTTGAGCTGATAAATTAGAGGGAAGGGAGCCAGTCAACAGCATCCATCGCTAACTCTTGGGTTACTCTTTTCTATCTGACCGAATAGTGGGATTTAACTGTCAGTCATTCTTTTTGTGGTGCGCGTTATTAAAGCAACGGGACGCGAACTGAGAACTCTTAGGTTTACAGACCGGCACGCTAACCACTTTGCCATGCCCGATTCAACAAAGTCTAGCAAAAACTGCAGACGAAATAAGTTTGTTTCCAATTGACCAGCTCTTTTTGGCCCAAACAGGGCACTAGTCAGCTCTGCCATATGGTAAGATGCCAATCAGAGAGCTAAATAAAGTAACATCTAATGGCAGTACAGTATTCCAAATACATAGAAGCTAAGTTCTTAAGAAACGTCGAATAGTGACACATACGGTTTTTCTGATTGTATATATATATATATATATATTTATAAGGTACAAACGCTACAAACACCTTAGCACTTAATGACTTAGAAACTCTTAGGTCATTCATTAAGTCCGTAACCTACATATTCGTAGTTATGACAACCGTGTCCTAATATACAGTAATGGTTGTTAGCTAAAATCTATACTTCATGATGAAGTCATGGGACGTGCAGACTGGACGACGAATATATATAGTTTGTTTTAAATAAACGTCACTAGTTTCAGTCCTGAGAAAATGTCAAAGTGCTGGAGTTTGATGACGTCTTCTCCATATCAGGCGACGAGTGCGGAGTTTATAACATATATGAGCAGAAGGCTAGTAAGCCAAGACGTCAAACTGTCTTTATAGGAATATGTACAATCAGATTTGTGAGACATGCAGTATCTACTGCCCAGTCTATGACGAGTCAATGTCTTTGTCGTCCATATCATCACGAATAGGGACCGTGGTATGGTTGTATAAGCCTTGGGCCATCAGCTGGATAGCCAATGTGTTAGGATGACCAACGGCCTTTTTGATCTTCGCGCGTTTGTTCTGGAACCAGATTTTGATCTGAGACTCGTTAAGTTGTAGTTCACGAGCCAGATCTTGTCGTCTTTTTTCTGTCAGGTAGCGGTTTTCTTGGAACTCTGCCTTGAGTCGGGCTAATTGGTCTGCTGTGAAGGCCGTTCTCGGCCGTTTCTCATCAGGTTTCTTTTTCTTCTTCATCCTCCGAGATCTGGGCCCTAGTTGTATATAAGAAAAAAAAATCAGTTATATTAGAACTTATATAAAAGCAAGTTAAATGTTAACTTTAAAATAATATACAGAAGCTGCTTTGATTCTCTGGGTATCAAAATAAACACTATGGTCATTTTGACTAGCATTTCTCAATAAACGTAAGGCTAAGACCAATTCAATTACAGAAGAAATAAAATCAGTACGTGAAGTTTTTAATCATAATATCAAGACTTACAATCAATAACAGGAGAATAATACAAGTCATTCTCACTAAAACGTATCTACTAAGCTGCGACATTACTGAAGAATAAGTGTACTTTAGAAGATTGATGCTCAAACTTCTGTTTGCAGTTGTTGAGCATTCCATACCAGTTAATTAAACATGTTGATTTATCTGAACAACTTCAACTGTCAATGAATGACATGACAAGTACTTTACATAGTCGTACACTGAAGAATTAGCAAACATTTAATGAAAACTCGTACGTCCCATACCATTTACACAATACCGACACATTCAGTCTAATATCATTTAGTTTACTATTATAAAGGAACCAACTTCAACGTTAACATCACTCATTTGTGTATTGTGGACATAGTTACGTTTTTCTGGAAACAGACTGTTAAACTAAAAATAAATTTGGAAAGAGATGTGACGTATTTTCTGTGATAGAAGATTGTATCACTAATTATGAAAGGCTTATTCCCTTTGTTACTCTGTCGAAAACACTTTCACGTTCCTTTTTTGGTAATGCTCAACAAACTTAGCAAAAAAACTATCCCCTGATTCTTCTTAGGCCAACTATGGTGTTTATGTTGAATGCTCAATATTCACGTTGATTTGCTAGAGAGGTTTTTTTTTATTCTTTATTTTCTTGATAACTTCGGTGATATAACAGCAAAATAGTTTAGTTCTGAAGTTTTATGACATTGAGTTGTAGTCAAATATAAAATAGAACTTACCAAGTAGTGTTTCACCTAAGCCTTACTCTACGTTTATGTATTAGGCCTAATGCTTAAATTAGACTACATATAGGCCTACTATTACTAACGTTATAGAATCAATGTTTAAAAAGTTTTAAGTAGTGAATAAATGTTGGTCCGGCATAGCCAGGTGGTTAGGGCGCTTGACTCATAACTTGAAGGTCGCATGTTCGAATCCCTTTTCTACCAAATATGTACGTCCTTTCAGCTGTGCTAGCTTTATTATGTGACGGTCAATCATACTATTCGTTGGTAAGAGAGTAGCCCAAGAGTTGGCGGTGGGTGGTGATGACTAGCTGCCTTCCCTCTATTAGGGGCGGCTAGCGCATATAGCCCTTTTTTAGCTTTGGGCAAAATTCAAACCAAACGAAACCGAATAAATGTTAATCAATAAATATTATTTTGGTATTTTAACACATATATTATCTACTTGGCCCTAAAACGTAAATAAAAATAAACGGTTATTAATACCAAATATCTTCTATCCTTTGTATAGTCGAATATTTGTGTTGGAATTCCAGCACTATGTTAATTCCTAAGAGTAGAAGAGTAAAGAGTAGGTACATTTTGGAGTACATAAAAATTCCTTTTAGTTAAATTATATAATTTTTGTTAATCATTCAATAATAGTTTCTCGTCATTTTTGGTGGGCTTTTGTACTAATATGATTTAATGCACATGGCTTGAACTTTATTACATTTTTTGTTTTCAAACTTATGTCGTGCAATTTGTAAGTCTTATTGTTATGTACATTATACATATTCGTTCAAAAAACAGCTAAATGTGGAAGTGGAATGAAAATATTTCAGGTCATACCAGGCTTATAAGTTTTTACAACAAATTAAGGATATAAAACTCTTGTGAAATGTTGTATCATATTTTTAAGACTGAAAAGAACAGACAATTACTTTCAACATGAGGATTTAGCTGTTAGATAGGACTTTAAATGAGGTGATAGAAACTTAACCAGTTAATCTGATTCTTAGAATAGGATGTTACTAAATGTTATTGGCTGGATGTTGTTAGCCAGTTCAGCTGAGTCTTAGAGTAGAATGTTGTAAAAGGTTATTTACTGAATGTTTTGGAATTAAATCTAGTGAAACGGATTCTTAGAGTAGGATGTTATGTCACCAAGGTTATTGGCTGTCAGTTATTAACCAGTAAAGTTAATGGCTGAAAATTTGGAAGTAATACCCAGTTGACCTAATTTTTACTTCAACTGTGATTCTATGCAGGATAATAAGTGGGTTTTATATAATATTCAGTTGAGACTATTTTTACAATGTGATGTTGCAAAGACATATTATTTAAGCATTCTACTGGATTGTATGAGCTATTATCCTGCTAATAAGTGGGTTTTATATAATATCCAGTTGAGACTATTTTTACAATGTGATGTTGCAAAGACATATTATTTAAGCATTCTACTGGATTGTATGAGCTATTATCCTGCTAGTTTCGTTGATTCTTACTCACAAAGTGATATTATTGGGACATTGCCTGGACTACATAGAATATTATTCTATTAATCCAATTCGTACTTATAGTGTGATGGTACCCACAATATTATATGGAATATTAGCACATTTAGCTCTTTTCTTTTCGTGAAATGTGGTATAATATTTATAAATTCAATGACTTAAAATGACTTGTTATGACGTAAAACATTATGCACATACTTATTACCCCATAGTACTTTGTGATATACGGTCATTCCTAGTTATCTTAAATTACAAGTGTTTTGACGTCTTATATTTCAAGTATTTAATACAGATCACTAAGACATTTTTATCTAAGAGCTCCGACTGTCCTGTTTTACACAAAAGTTGGCTTTTAAAGCTATCAATGTATTTTTGATTTAACTTTTCTCCTGAAAAACAAACAAACAAACAAACTACTTTCCCTGCCAGTTATACTGTTATTACGAAGAAATCGTTTCATGTAGTATTCTCTTTTAAATAAGAAGAAAACTTTCTGTTTCTGATCGATTCATTTGTTTGCTAACCCTTGTTATATCATTAGGTACTTCAAACAACAAGAAAGAAGTATTTGTTATTGTTTAGTGAATAAAAGACAACATTTTGCCAATTCCGCTGAAGAAGAACAAAGAAGATTGGTTTAACTCGATAATTTCACCATAACTTTTTAAACCACTAAGAAGAGCACTCAGCTTACCTTTATAAAAGGAAATTCATTTTCGCACATTACCTATTTTCAAAACAGCAACATTTACTAGACTAAAATGTAATTTCTTTTTTGAACTTTTATCAGTACAATTTTATTTCTTAATTGTCGGCACCACATTCCAAAATACATTTGCAGTAGTTATTAGAAATGAAGTAATTTATCAATGTGTTTATAGAGAATGTGTCAATTTGTTTGTCATCGAAATCATTTTATGTATGATGGGTTTGTTATGAATTTCGCACAAAGCTACACGAGGGCTATCTGCGCTAGCCGTCCCTAATTTAGCAGTACAAGACTAGAGGGAAGGCAGCTAGTCATCACCACCCGCCGCCAACTCTTGGGCTACTCTTTTACCAACGAATAGTGGGATTGACCATCACATTATAACGTTTCCACGGCTGAAAGCGAGCATGTTTGGTGTGACGGGGATTCTAACCCGCACCCCGAAGATTGTGGGTCGATCGCCCTAACCACCTGGCCATGCCGGGCTTTATGTAGGAACATAGCAATGTTATTCTCCGAATGTGTATAAACCAATCCTCCCCCGATAAGATTCTGGTGGATTTCCCCGTCACACTGATATTGGAGGTCTGTCTCTCTTTACACTTTTGTTTTATTATTTAAAGAGCTGAGGTGAAAAATACGTATGACAGAAACAATTCCACTACCACCTACAGTACCTGACCATACTCAAATCGCCAGAGAATTATGAAAGAAGACATTACGTTCTATTTGCTTCTATGTACCCAATTAACATAACAGTTTTTATTAAGCCAAACTTGGAGGTCATGAGAGATAAAGAAACACGAGATTCTTGTATTTGAAATGTGTCAGCTAATAACTCGCTCACAAGTTGCGCATGGTTAAAACGCCACCATCTATTGTTTCAGTCAACCGTCCGAAGGTAAACAACAACACCTATTGTTTCAGTCAACCGTCCGATGGTAAAACACCACCACCTATTGTTTCAGTCAACCGTCCAAAGGTAAAACACCACCACCTATTGTTTCAGTCAGCCGTCCGATGGTCAAAACAACAATATCTTTTGTTTCAGTCAACCGTCCGATGGTAAAACACCACCACCTATTGTTTCAGTCAACCGTCCGATGGTCAAAACAACAACACCTTTTGTTTCAGTCAACCGTCCGATGGTCAAAACAACAATACCTTTTGTTTCAGTCAACCGTCCGATGGTCAAAACAACAACACCTTTTGTTTCAGTCAACCGTCCCTAGCACAATTTGTTTTTAATAAAGATGATTTATTTGTTAAATGTACACAAAAATTCGAAATAGCTTTCTGAATGAATAAGTGGTATTATTTCACGCAAAAAGCAGAAGATTGAAGCTACTAATTTTTATTTTATCTTTAAAACAATATCTAATTAACATGTAAACTAACACAAGTTATTGTCATTCAAACTGGAACTCTTTCCGTTATATGATATTTAAAGTTTCTCAAAGTGCACTATCTGAATGACTCAAGCTAATGTGAGGTATGTCAAGATCTAAATGTACTTTGAGAATTATATATGCTTTAGCTCAATGCAAGCAGGGTGCAGTTTGTAAACTAAGTAATTTGAGCTTAAAATTGGATCTATTAAATTTCTACAATAAAATTTGATATTATGGGTTATGTCTATAGTATACATAAGAAACACAACAGCCGTTATGCTGGAAGATAGATGTCACAACAACACTTATTATTTAGAGACAGTGAAACTTACTCGGGTCATTGTTTTGTTTTATCGTTCTTTAAGCGTTAATTGTGTTTTGTATTCGAAGTCTACAACGGTAATTAAAGAAAATGTAACAGTAATGTAGACGTTATCAAT